TTTCACTAGCAGACTGGGTGAAAGATTATACAGGAACTAATTTATTTTGCTTCATTGCTTTTGTCATTCCCTACTGTTATGTGGATTTAACAGCAAGAGTCTCTGACTCTAGGTATATCTCAGTTTACATAAGATTTTTTTATGTAAAATTTGTATGCAAGTCAGAATATTAGAAATGAAATCATTTAAAATGTATTAAATTTGCTTGTTAATGATAGAAATGCTATAGTGAATCCTTTTGTTGAGCAAAGCACCTGAAATTAATATTACAGATAATTTTCACTTAAAAAAAATTTTTTTTTCAATTTTTTTGTGACTTACCTTTTTTAAACCACTTTATTGAAATATGATTGACAAAGCTGTACATATTTAATATATACAACTTGATGAGTTTGGGATAAGTATACATTGATTGTAACCTTTGATGCACAAAAGTTTTAAGTTTAATATAGTCCACCTTGTCTATTTTTGCTTTTTTTGCCTGTTTCATATATGCCTTTCGGTTACCTTTTGGTGTCATATCTAAGAAATCATTGCCAGATTCAATGTCATGAAGCTTTTCTCTTGTGTTTTCTTCTAGGAGTTTTATAGTTTGAGGTCTTATGTTTAGGTCTTACTTTATAAATTCCAAAATAAATATTTTTTATTAAAATCAGGTGGGAAGTCACCATATTAATATCATTTAGACAGATTTTCACAGTCAAAAATAGAAGGTGGAGCAAATAATGTATCTGGGCATTTGATATAACTTATTTGATTTCAAATGCAAATTTTGCTTCAGGGATAAATCATACAGATTTGCTACCACTTTATCCAGAAAATAATTGCATCTACCTGTCCTCTAAGACTTGATCTGTAATTTATTCTCCATATCACTATTTTTGTCATAGAAAAGTTGGAAGTTTTATATATATATGTATGTGTGTATATATATGCATGTAAAGAAAATCACTTAAATTCCCACCGTCTAGAAATAATCACCATTAAAATTTGGTATATAATATCCTTCCAAACTCTTTTCAATGTAAATATATACATATAAATGTTTTTAGCTGCATTGGTAAATAATCTGAAAGAATGTATACCGAAGTGTGTGTTTGTACAAAATGGAATTATATTATTCACACTTCTTTTTTTTTCATCTAATGATATTTCATGAATTAAAAAAAATATGGGTGGTAGATCTGCATCATCATTTCTAAAGGCCACCTTGTGTTTCATCGCCTTGGGTCTACCGGGGTTGGTCATATCTGCTGTTGGGTAGTGGGATTATGCCTGATCGGCGTTTTTTCTTTTATAAACAGTGCTGTGATTGCATTCTTTACATACAGCTTCACCCACTTGATTATTTCTTTAGGATAAATTTCAAAAAATGAAATTACTGGGTAAAGGATGTAGACTACTATATTGAGTTCTGATGGCGTATTTAAATTGCCCTCCTACAAGTGGCAGTTTATATCCCCACTGGCGATGTATACATGTGCTTATTTGCCTGCTCACACACCAACACTGTCCCAATTTTCTAAGTAAAAATGGTATATTTTTATTGCAACTTGCATTTCCTTGATTAACTTGAGGTTAAACATTTTAATATTAAATCTTTTAAAAAACTTTAATTGCAGTATGCTTTTTAGTTTTAATTACAGGCATACCTCAGAGATATTGAAGGTTCAGTTCCAGACCACTGAGATAAAGTGAATATCGCAATTAAGCAAGTCCCACGAATTTTTTGGTTTCCCAGTGCATATAAAAGTTGTGTTTACACTATACTGTAGTCTATTAAGTGTACAATAGCATTATGTCAAAAAAATAATTTACATAACTTAATTAAAAAATACTTTATTGCTAAAAAATGCTAACCATCATCTGAGCCTTCAGCAAGTCATAATCTTTTTTTTTTTTATAAGATTTTATTTATTTTATTTTTCCCCCCAAAGCCCCAGCAGATAGTTGTATGTCATAGCTGCACATCCTTCTAGTTGCTGTATGTGGGACTCGGCCTCAGGATGGACGGAGAAGTGGTGCCTCGATGCGCACCCGGGATCCGAACCCGGGCCACCAGCATCGCAGCGCACACACTTAACCACCAAGCCACAGGGCCGGCCCAGCAAGTCATAATCTTATTGCTAGTGGAGGGTCTTGCCTCAATGTTGATGGCTGCTGATCGATCAGGATGGTGGTTGCTGAAGGTTGGGGTGGCCGTGGCAATTTTAAAAAATAAGACAGCAATGAAGTTTGCCACACCAATTGACTCTTCCTTTCACGAATGATTTCTCTGTAACATGCGATGCTGTTTGATAGCACTTTACCCACAGAACTTCTTTCAAAATTGGATTCAGTCCTCTCAAACTCTGCCACTGCTTTGTCAACTGAGTTTGTGTAATATTCTAAATCTTTTATTGTCATTTCAACAATCTTCACAGCATCTTCACTAGGAGTAGATTCCATCTCAAGAAACCACTTTGCTCATCCATAGGAAGCAACTCCTCATCCGTTAAAGTTTTATCATGAGATTGCAGCAATTCAGTCACATCTTCAGGCTCCACTTCTAATTCTAGTTCTCGTACTATTTCCACCGCGTCTGCAGTTACCTCCTCCACTGAAGCCTTGAAACCCTCAAAGTCATCCATGAGAGTTGGAATCAACTTCTTCCGGACTCCTGTTAATGTTGATATTTTGACCTTTTCCCATGAATCACGAATGTTCTTAATGGCATCTAGAATGGTGAATCCTTTCCAGAAGGTTTCCAGTTTACTTTGCCGAGATCCCTCAGAGGAATCACAATCTATGGCAGCTATAGCCTTATGAAACATATTAAATAATAAGACTTGAAAGTTGAAATTACTCCTTAATCTATGAGCTACAGAATGGATGTTGTGTTAGCAGGCATGAGAACAACGTTAATCTCGTACATCTCTATCAGAGCTCTTGGGTGACCAGGTGCATTGTCAACAGTCAGTAATATTTTGAAAGGAATCTTTTTTTCTGAACGGTAAGTCTCAACAGTAGCCTTAAAATATTCAGTAAACCATGTTGGAAACAGATGTGCTGTCATCCAGGCTTTGTTGTTCCATCTATAGAGCACAGGCAGAGTAGATTTAGCATAATTCTTAAGGGCTCCAGGATTTTAGGAATGGTAAACGAGCATTGGCTTCATCTTCAAGTCACCAGCTGCATTAGCCCCTAAGAGGAGACTCAGCCTGTCCTTTGAAGCCAGACAGTGACTTCTGCTTTCCAGCTATAAAAGTCCTAGATGGCATCTTCTTCCAATAGAAGGCTGTTTCATATACATTGAAAAGCTGTTGTTTAGTGTACCACCTTCATTAATTATCTTACCTAGATCTTCTGGATAACTTGCTGCAGCTTCTACATCAGCACTTGCTGCTTCACCTCGCACTTTTATGTTATGGAGATGCTTCTTTCCTTAAACCTCACAAACCAAGCTCTGCTGGCTTCAAACTTTTCTTCTGCAGCTTCCTCACCCCTCTCAGCTTTCATAGAATTGAAAAGAGTTAGGGCCTTGCTCTGGATTAGGCTTTGTCTTAAGGGAATGTCGTGACTGGTTTGATCTATCCAGACCACTGAAACTTTCTCCACATCAGCAATAAGGCTCTTTTGCTTTCTTATCATTCGTGTGTTCACTGGATAGCACTTTTAATTTCCTTCAAGCACTTTCCCTTTGCATTCGCAGCCTGGCTAACTGGCACAAAAGGCTTATCTCATCTTTCAACATGCGTTCGTCACTAAGCTTAATCATTTCTAGCTTTTGGTTTAAAATGAAAGACATGTGACTCTTCCTTTCACTTGAACACTTAGAGACCATTGCAGGGTTATTAATTGGCCTAATTTCAATATTGTTATGTCTCGGGGAATAGGGAGGCCTGAGAAGAGAGAGAGAGATGGGAATGGCCAGTGGGTGGAAGAGTCAGAACACACACAACATTTATTGATTGAGTTCAGCATCTTATATGGACGTGATTCGTGGTGCCCCAAAACAATTACAATAGTAACATGAAAGTACACTGATCACAGATCATCGTAACCAATATAACAATAATGAAAAAGTTTGAGTATTGCGAGATTTACCAAGATGTCACACAGAGACACAAAGTGAGCAAATGCTGTTGGAAAAACGGCACCGATAGACTTGCTCAATGCAGGGTTGCCACAAACCTTCAAATTTGTGAAAACACAGTATCTGTGAAGTACAATAAAGTGAAGTGCAATAAAACGAGGTACACCTGTATGAAATTTTAAAATTATGAAATGTCCTTTTGGGAATTAATGTTCTTTGTCTGTTTTTCAATTGCAATGTTCACTTAAACCATAATGATTTTCTGATTTTATGTCATAGTCTTAAGTTATAGACAATACTATGACTAGAACCATTTTTCAGTTTTCTTTTGCCCATTAACTGTGTTGATGATGCTTTATTTAGTTTTACTCCTCAGATGTCTTTAATATTTGTGTCTGTGTGTGTGTTCAAAGCTGTTAATCTCTTCTATTCTGGCTCCTGGGTTTCTTGTCATGCCTAGAAAGATGTCCCCAAATCAAGATTGTATAAGTATCTCCCCACATTTTTCCATTGCTCTGTGGTTTGCTTGGCTTTTTTTTTTTTTTTTTTTTTGATCTCTGAATTTCAAATGTTAAAAACTAGCACTTTATTTATAAGGCGTTTTGTAGTTTAAATTACAATAGAAATGCCAAAGACCACTGATACTCCCTTACCAACGCCCCCACCTTAATTAGAAAAAGTGGGGCTGAATAGAAGCTACAAAGTTATGTTTAGTGGAATTGATACTTCTTAAGTGTTCACTGCATGCTCAGAGGGCTTTCTGAAAACGCGTCTAAGATACTGTTATATTTAAGGCTTTGAGATTTTTTTTTTAACAATAGAACTGGCAATGGAGACTGCCAGTAATTTATGACATAAATCTGTTTGCTGCGATTCTGAGCTTAGATGAAAGAGCTAATAAGGATTATTTTCCTTTCTCTTCTAGATTTTATAGGAAGACAAAACTTGTTGGTTTTCAAGACATGGAGTGTGTGCCTTGTGGAGACCCCCCTCCTCCTTACGAACCGCACTGTGAGTGAACTCCGCACAGCCTCGGCAGAAGGGCTCTTGGTCTTTTCTTAAACCTTTCTTCAGTTGGCAAATGGAGCAAAGTCTCTCTCTGCTCTGGGGCTTATAGTGTGCACTCTTTTATCAAGCTTCCAGCAGGACATAAAGCCCTTTTGTTGTGTGCCTCAGTCAGCAAACTGTGTCCATTGATTTGAATCTCAAAGTGAAATACAGACATTTTGCTGCTTCTGTGCTCCATTCAAACTCTTATCTTTCTTTCTTGATATATAACTCAGGCAGCTCCAATTAACTAGGTGGTTTGAATCCTCATGCATAATGTCTTTGTGCCACGGCCCCATGAATTACTGTGTTTTCCCTTCTTAGTCACCAGACCCTGTCACGCAGTGGCTTCTCTGCCTTTCCAGAGATGTTCCTCTCCACTAATCACCTGCCCTAATTAATGTATGATTAGATGGAATCTTAGTTCATTTCATTCACTCCTTCATTTTTCTCATTTAATAAATAAGAGAAAACCCAGTGAGTGCTGGAAATACAACTGTAAATGAGAAAATTGTGCCTTTTCTTCTTTGTATTAATATTAGTTAATCTTTTTGACCGTATTTTTCCTTAGATATAAAAGGTATTTGTTACAAGTTATCAACTTGCATTGATTTTAAGTAGGAAGAAGAGTGGCTCCTCACTTTTCTTAATCCTAAATGTAGATCTGGCCAATGAAAACCCACAGGTAATGGCCAGGAAAGGAATCAGCAGGTGCCTCCCACCCCCTGCCCCGTGTGCTCAGGGCATGCTGGTCTCTGCTGACCAGGCCTTCAGTGAGTTCTGCTTCCCCGTACACAAGACACAGCGGAGTCGGGGAGGGAGGATGCAGGGGGGCGCTCTGTCCGTGCCTTTCTGGGGAGCATTGGTAATATAAATGTTTATCTTTAGGGGTTGTTTTGATATAATTTTCAGTGCATGGGATCTGTCTTCTTCCTTCTTTCTGTGGCAAAGGCCCCTCTGAAATAATTGAAAGTTATTGCAGTATCTGATAAGGTTACGTAGTACTTCCATTTCCAAGAATCTCATGGAATTCTGTAGTCCATTTTATTATGTCCTTTACCAAAATGCGTCACTTTCTATTCTTTATTTGAAGTGACAGAAAGTCAAAAAAAATTGAAGACTCTTTCTAACTTTTATAAAAATGTATTTCTTTTTTTTTTTTTCTAATTTTATTTATTTATTTTTTTACCCCCAAAGCCCCAGTAGATAGTTGTATGTCATAGCTACACATCCTTCTAGTTGCTGTATGTGGGACGCGGCCTCAGCATGGCTGGAGAAGCGGTGCGTCGGTGCGTGCCTGGGATCCGAACCCAGGCCGCCCGTAGCGGAGCGCACGCACTTAACCGCTAAGCCACGGGGCTGGCCCTAAAAATGTATTTCGACCCTCCTCTTCATAATATGCAAACATTCGCCAAATAAATCATTGCAGTTAACAAATACAATATTGAATGCCTGTTATGTGTTAGTCACAATATGGAAATTATTTGTTTTACTTAATTTTTTCAGTCTTCCATCATCAGCCTGCATTTGTCAGTGAGGACAGCAGGTCCAGAGAGGTGAATAACTTTCCATTGTTGGCTGCTAGTTGGCAGAGACAGTAATCAATCTCCAGTCTGTCTAATTCCGAATATCGTCCTCTTTCCACCACACTCTACTGTCTTATAAGAAAAACCAAACTATCTGATCCGCCCTTTCTTGGCTGATACAATTTACTATATGTTGACCTTTTCTTGTATTGTTTGCTTTAATGTTCGTCATTTAATGAAAACTCTAAAAAATCTAATGTAGAGGAGACACTGAAAGAGCCTCTTTATGCTACACGGCCCATAAAAGGACACGTCCTCTTGCCAGTTAAAACAGAGCGGCAGCCTCGTCCTGCCCGTGGGCCAGCTCAGCCATCATATTGTCCAGAAGGCAAAGACTATGCACTTCATGCCAAACTACCGTAAAAAGATTTAGTAAAGAAATTGGTATTGCCCAGTTTAGAGTCATAAGTCTGAGGCACTGGAATTTTTTGCCTTTAGGGACCTGACTAAGCTTGGACATCATAAATTAGCCTTTAAACATAGATTTCACATTTAAATTTTAATGTCTTGTAAAGCTCTAAGTAAGTAATAATTTGAAAAGAAAATTAACTAGTTTAATTTATATGTATAGATATATTTCTACCTATGTGAAACTTCTTAGAAAGCAAAAAAAATGTTATTTTTCAAAGTCAGAAGTGCAGTGTGCACAGCTAATAGCCTTTCGAATCATGAAACAACAGTCTGGGGGTCTTTAGTGAGCCTTACTCTTTATCTCTGTAAAGGAAAGTTTGCTGCCTTTGGCACAGTTCTTGGGAATAATTCCAGAACACAACTAATCTCCTCAAAAGAGATCTTGAAGTCTTGGGGGGAAATTATGTAAGACGCCTCATGTTTTCATTTCTTCTATTTTGGGCTTTTCACCTCATCCACAAAGAACTGCTTCTTCAGGGATTTCTCCCCCTCAGGAGTTCCTGTATTATTTAGACTCTTAGTGGTAAGAAAGCAAGAGCACTCAAGCTACCTTAAGTAATGGGGTTTGTTTTGAGGATACACATGGTAGTGAGAGTCTAAACTTCCCAGGAGGAGCCTTTTCTGGGGACCCCCGGCAGCCCTGGAGTCCGGGCCCTGTCGCCCACCTGCAGCAGGAGGCTCTGAGCCCTCCCTGGGACTCCGTGTCAGCCCCACACAGCCTCCAGCCTGCATGACTCGGTTTACATCTCCTGGTTTTCGCTCATGCTTTCAATGGCTGCTTTGGTCTGTATTTCCCTGTGCAGGCTCCTGAGGGAGAGAATCTGATTGGTCTAGTTAAATACCATGGTCCTGTGAGGCAGAGCCTTTTTTGTTTACCTGTTGAACAAATATTTGAGTGCCTACTGGGTACCAGGCACACAATGGAGAACAGATAGACCCCAGCCCTCTTCTTCATGGAGTTTATGGTATAGTGGGGGCGTTGTCAAATAACTACTCCGAATTAAAGAGTATTCAAATTCTACACACATGGATGCAACATTATGACTGATCAGCCCCGTGCCTGCAAGGATCCATGGAGCTCTAAGAATGTATAATGGGTAATGACGTAGGAGCTTTAGAGAAGGCTTTCCCAAGCTTGGCCTTTGAGCTGTGATCTAAAGGATCAGCTGGAGGAGGACGAGCCTGACAAGGAGACTAACAGAGGGGCCTGGGAAGTGGGAGGAAGCCAGGAGAGTGGGGCGTCCCGCAGCGTTGGATGCTGTGTGCAAGTCGAGTCACTTGACACTGAAATGGCCTTTGGACTCAGCACCCTGGAGGTCTTTGAGGATATTGACAAGAACCATTTTAGTGAGTAATGGAAATGGAAGCCAGGTTATAATGAAACGAGAAGTTCATGTAAGGGGAGGAGTGCAGACGATTGTAGACAGCTCTGTCCAGAGGTTTGCCTGTGAAGGACTAATAGGGTGACACATGGAGTGTGCAAGCAAGGGAAGCGTTTGTTTTATTTCGTTTTTAGGTGAGAGACAGTCTGCTTGTTCGAAGGTTGCAGGGAAGGATCCACCTGAGAGAGGTTGACTGTTTTGTATGAGAGAATGATCAGTCAGGTAAGCTTTGCTGGGGAAGGATCCCAAAGCACAGGTGTGGGGCTTACCATCTCTGGCAGGAGGGAGAGCTCCCTGCTGTAACCAGGGAAGGAGGGAGCGGGGCAGATGAAGGTGGGCTTGCGCATGCAGTGGCAGTGGGCAAGAGGTTCCTCTACATGGCTTCAGTGTGTGTCAAGTAGGAGGCACCGTGTTCTGCCAAGAGAGTCAGGAGCCAAAGAACTCAGAGGCTGAAAGAGCACAGGTGTCTGACGTTCTCGTTATAGAGAGGACAGCTGATTAGAGAAAATAGTGGGTTTCCCAGTAGCACCAGGGTCCTGCTGGAGTTTGTAGTCATGGCGAGGCATTGCCTACTTCTCATGTGATGTCTCTAGGGGCTTCTGCTGCGAGGATGACTCAGGCCACCTCTGAAGCTGCCCCAAGACGTATGTAAGTTGTACCCTAAATGTGCGGCTTATAGCAGGCTATGCAGACAAGTCTTTAAAAAGGATGACTAAGTGTTAATAACACAGGAATAATTTTAAATGGATGTAAATACATTTTCTTATATTTATATAATACGTGAAGCAAACCAAAGTAACAAGAAAACACAAGATTGAAAACTTCCCGTATTTCTGTCAACTCTCCTAGAGGCCACCCCACATCCATACTTGTCTATAGCTGGTATAACTTTGGCAAGTGACTTAAATCCCCTATTTCTCGGTTTGGTCCCTGTAAAATGGGGTGACACCTCCCTGCTAAGTTGTTGTAAGTACTAAATAGTCACCAAGTCGCCTAGCACAGTGTCTGGCAGGCAGGGTCTCCAATCCACTGGCTCCCTTCCTTGCTCCTTCTACCACACAGTGCTTCTTGGATGCTTAGATGGTATCTCCTAGCATCTAGGGGGAGTTGCTGTCTTGAGAAAGGGCCAAGTGACTGCCCAGGGGTGCGGTATTTAGCAGGGGCAGTGGTTCAGAGAACAGCAGGGAGCTAGCACTCAACAGGAAATGGCATAATGGGAGACTGAGGAAACTTTGGCCATCAGATAACAAATAGGTTCTCTGCAGCTCAAATTTGTAATAAAGAATGTCTAAATAGAAGTTTCTGTCTCTGTAAGGCATACATGTATTCTTTGTACAGTGATCTTAAAAATGAGAAAGAAGCTTCTATCTCTCATGACTCTTTACTCCCTGTTGGCCGAGTCTTCAGAAGTCCTTAAAAATGGGCCATCTGTCAGAGGCTGTGGAGCAGAGTAGAACACAGAGTGGGACCTGCTGCCGGAAGTTTTGGGTTCATACCTAGGCTGTGGCTTTGTGATGGTACTGATGTAGTGGATTTTTGTGAGCTTGGGCAAATGTGTCACCACTTCGAACCTCCATTTACTCTT